TGAAGATGATTCGACAGCAGAAGAGGATTCAACACCAGATGATGATCTAGCTACTGAAGAGGATTCGACAGCAGAAGAGGATTCAACACCAGATGATGAGACAGCTACTGAAGAAGATTCGACAGCAGAAGAGGATTCAACAGCGGAAGAGGATTCGACAGCAGAAGAGGATTCAACACCAGATGATGAGACGGCTACTGAAGAGGATTCGACAGCAGAAGAGGATTCAACACCAGATGATGAGACAACTACTGAAGAGGATTCGACAGCAGAAGAGGATTCAACAGCACTTGATGATCTTACACTGTAACTACTAAATCCTGTACTAGAACCAAACGCAGAAGCCGATCTAGAAGCTAAAGATGATTCAGATGAAGATTCAACACCAGATGATGAGACAGCTACTGAAGAGGATTCGATAGCAGAAGAGGATTCAACACCAGATGATGAGACAGCTACTGAAGAGGATTCGACAGCAGAAGAGGATTCAACACCAGATGATGAGACGGCTACTGAAGAGGATTCGACAGCAGAAGAGGATTCAACACCAGATGATGAGACAGCTACTGAAGAAGATTCGACAGCAGAAGAGGATTCAACAGCGGAAGAGGATTCGACAGCAGAAGAGGATTCAACACCAGATGATGAGACAGCGGCTGAAGAGGATTCGACAGCAGAAGAGGATTCAACACCAGATGATGAGACAGCGGCTGAAGAGGATTCGACAGCAGAAGAGGATTCAACAGCGGATGATGAGACAGCTACTGAAGAGGATTCGACAGCAGAAGAGGATTCAACACCAGATGAAGAGACGGCTACTGAAGAGGATTCGACAGCAGAAGAGGATTCAACACCAGATGATGAGACAGCTACTGAAGAGGATTCGACAGCAGAAGAGGATTCAACACCAGATGAAGAGACGGCTACTGAAGAGGATTCGACAGCAGAAGAGGATTCAACACCAGATGATGAGACAGCTACTGAAGATGATTCGACAGCAGAAGAGGATTCAACACCAGATGATGAGACGGCTACTGAAGAGGATTCGACACCAGAAGAGGATTCGACACCAGATGATGAGACAGCTACTGAAGAAGATTCGACAGCGGAAGAAGATTCGACAACAGAAGAAGATTCAACAGCACTTGACGATCTTAGACTGTAACTACTAAATCCTGTACTAGAACCAAACGCAGAAGCAGATCTAGAAGCTAAAGATGATTCAGATGAAGATTCAACACCAGATGATGAGACGGCTACTGAAGAGGATTCGACAGCAGAAGAGGATTCAACACCAGATGATGAGACAGCTACTGAAGAGGATTCGACAGCAGAAGAGGATTCAACACCAGATGATGAGACGGCTACTGAAGAGGATTCGACAGCAGAAGAGGATTCAACACCAGATGATGAGACAGCTACTGAAGAAGATTCGACAGCAGAAGAGGATTCAACACCAGATGATGAGATAGCTACTGAAGAGGATTCGACAGTAGAAGAGGATTCAACACCAGATGATGAGACACCTACTGAAGAGGATTCGACAGTAGAAGAGGATTCAACACCAGATGATGAGACGGCTACTGAAGAGGATTCGACAGCAGAAGAGGATTCAACACCAGATGATGAGACAGCTACTGAAGAGGATTCGACAGCAGAAGAGGATTCAACACCAGATGATGAGACAGCTACTGAAGAGGATTCGATAGCAGAAGAGGATTCAACACCAGATGATGATCTAGCGGCTGAAGATGATTCGACAGCTGAAGAGGATTCAACACCAGATGATGAGACAGCTACTGAAGAAGATTCGACAGCAGAAGAGGATTCAACACCAGATGATGAGACAGCTACTGAAGAGGATTCGACAGCAGAAGAGGATTCAACACGAGATGATGATCTAGCGGCTGAAGAGGATTCGACAGTAGAAGAGGATTCAACACCAGATGATGAGACGGCTACTGAAGAGGATTCGACAGCAGAAGAGGATTCAACACCAGATGATGAGACGGCTACTGAAGAGGATTCGACAGCAGAAGAGGATTCAACACCAGATGATGAGACAACTACTGAAGAGGATTCGACAGCAGAAGAGGATTCAACACCAGATGATGAGACAACTACTGAAGAGGATTCGACAGCAGAAGAGGATTCAACAGCACTTGATGATCTTACACTGTAACTACTAAATCCTGTACTAGAACCAAACGCAGAAGCCGATCTAGAAGCTAAAGATGATTCAGATGAAGATGCAACACCAGATGATGAGACAGCTACTGAAGAGGATTCGATAGCAGAAGAGGATTCAACACCAGATGATGAGATAGCTACTGAAGAGGATTCGACAGCAGAAGAGGATTCAACACCAGATGATGAGACGGCTACTGAAGAGGATTCGACAGCAGAAGAGGATTCAACACCAGATGATGAGACAGCTACTGAAGATGATTCGACAGCAGAAGAGGATTCAACACCAGATGATGAGACGGCTACTGAAGAGGATTCGACAGCAGAAGAGGATTCAACACCAGATGATGAGACAGCTACTGAAGAAGATTCGACAGCAGAAGAGGATTCAACACCAGATGATGAGACGGCTACTGAAGAGGATTCGACAGCAGAAGAGGATTCAACACCAGATGATGAGACGGCTACTGAAGAGGATTCGACAGCAGAAGAGGATTCAACACCAGATGATGAGACAGCTACTGAAGATGATTCGACAGCAGAAGAGGATTCAACACCAGATGATGAGACAGCTACTGAAGATGATGAGACAGCAGAAGAGGATTCAACACCAGATGATGATCTAGCGGCTGAAAAGGATTCGACAGCAGAAGAGGATTCAACACCAGATGATGAGACAGCTACTGAAGAGGATTCGATAACAGAAGAGGATTCAACACCAGATGATGATCTAGCGGCTGAAGAGGATTCGACAGCAGAAGAGGATTCAACACCAGATGATGAGATAGCTACTGAAGAGGATTCGACAGCAGAAGAGGATTCAACACCAGATGATGAGACAGCTACTGAAGAGGATTCGACAGCAGAAGAGGATTCAACAGCACTTGATGATCTTACACTGTAACTACTAAATCCTGTACTAGAACCAAACGCAGAAGCCGATCTAGAAGCTAAAGATGATTCAGATGAAGATTCAACACCAGATGATGAGACAGCTACTGAAGAGGATTCGATAGCAGAAGAGGATTCAACACCAGATGATGAGACAGCTACTGAAGAGGATTCGACAGCAGAAGAGGATTCAACACCAGATGATGATCTAGCGGCTGAAGAGGATTCGACAGCAGAAGAGGATTCAACACCAGATGATGAGACAGCTACTGAAGAGGATTCGACAGCAGAAGAGGATTCAACAGCGGATGATGAGACAGCTACTGAAGAGGATTCGACAGCAGAAGAGGATTCGACAGCGGAAGAAGATTCGACAACAGAAGAAGATTCAACAGCACTTGACGATCTTACACTGTAACTACTAAATCCTGTACTAGAACCAAACGCAGAAGCAGATCTAGAAGCTAAAGATGATTCAGATGAAGATTCAACACCAGATGATGAGACACCTACTGAAGATGATTCGACAGCAGAAGAGGATTCAACACCAGATGATGAGACAGCTACTGAAGATGATTCGACAGCAGAAGTGGATTCAACACCAGATGATGAGACGGCTACTGAAGAGGATTCGACAGCAGAAGAGGATTCAACACCAGATGATGAGACAGCTACTGAAGAGGATTCGATAACAGAAGAGGATTCAACACCAGATGATGATCTAGCGGCTGAAGAGGATTCGACAGCAGAAGAGGATTCAACACCAGATGATGAGATAGCTACTGAAGATGATTCGACAGCAGAAGAGGATTCAACACCAGATGATGAGACGGCTACTGAAGAGGATTCGACAGCAGAAGAGGATTCAACACCAGATGATGAGACAGCTACTGAAGAAGATTCGACAGCAGAAGAGGATTCAACACCAGATGATGATCTAGCGGCTGAAGAGGATTCGACAGCAGAAGAGGATTCAACACCAGATGATGAGACGGCTACTGAAGATGATTCGACAGTAGAAGAGGATTCAACACCAGATGATGAGACGGCTACTGAAGAGGATTCGACAGCAGAAGAGGATTCAACACCAGATGATGAGACGGCTACTGAAGAGGATTCGACAGCAGAAGAGGATTCAACACCAGATGATGAGACAGCTACTGAAGAGGATTCGATAACAGAAGAGGATTCAACACCAGATGATGATCTAGCGGCTGAAGAGGATTCGACAGCAGAAGAGGATTCAACACCAGATGATGAGATAGCTACTGAAGATGATTCGACAGCAGAAGAGGATTCAACACCAGATGATGAGACGGCTACTGAAGAGGATTCGACAGCAGAAGTGGATTCAACTGCGGATGATGATCTAGGAGCTGAAGAGGATTCGATAGCAGAAGAGAATACAATCTCAGGTGATGATCTAGCAACTGAAGAGGTTTCAACACCAGATGATGATACAGCAACTGAAGAGGATTCAATACCAGAAGAAGATTCAACACCAGAAGAAGATAATAATGAATGAACGGAGTCACTCGAATTGCTGGTTGATACTTCATCTCTATAAACATAATACAGTATTTGGTTTATATCCTTATTAGCATCGTTTAAAAACGTAGTTGTAATTGTTTTAAAAGTGGTTCCAGCTGAAATACTGTTTGAAATGTATGTAGTGGATGTTGTATATTCTTTTGTTGTATAAACATAATATAAAAGTTCTGTGACTTCTTCCGAGTTAGCAAAAGTTATGGTTTTCACGTTTGTGCTATAAGTTGAAACTTGATCTAGGGACCAAGTTGAATATGTAATTGATGTTGAAATTCTTGATGGTGTCATTACATAATAAACAGTTTCTGTTGTCACATTTCCATTCCCATCACTTATTAGTGTTGTCTTGGTTGAATAGGTAGTTGATTTATTTCCTGATCCCAAAGTTTTCACTGTTGACGTTCTGAAATTATTAAGATTTGTTGGAATAGCTACTAAATATACGGTAGATATAGTAGTTAGACCATCTGCACCTGTGGTTGTAACCATTTCACTAGAAAGCGTCGACCATTGCGAGAATGAGAAAGAACCTACTGTGGTTAAAGTAACCTCGTCAGTTATATATGGTAAGTTAACTATGATTATGTCCTTCTTATAATAGTAATAATCTGGACCAATTTCATTTGTAGAAGTACTGCCATATGTATAAGATGATTGACCAAAACCTTGGGTATATGATGTTGCAGTTACAGACGACACAGGAACATATATATCAACTATTGTATATGTTGTTCCATCACTAATTGATAATATAGAAGAATACCAAGAGGTATATGAATTGCTCCAAGTAGTATATCTAGCAGATGCTAAAGCTGGAGAAGTCCCAACTACATAAGTGGTCACTACGGTTGTAGATCCATCGGTCCCTGTATAAGTTTTATAATTTGTGGATATAGTATGTGCAGTGGTTTGTTTCCAATCTATAACTGTTGATGTAGAGTAGAATAAATTACTTGGTAATGCAATATAGTAAATAGTTTCCGTAGTTTCTATGTTGTCTGTTCCGGAAACAGTTTTAATGAGTGTAGAAATTGTCGACCATGTAGTTCCTGTTAAATCTTGTGTCAAGAATCTAGATGAAGTTAAAGAAACAGATGTCGCTAAAGGTACTATCACAATCCATATCAGGAAAGTTGACCAAAATGTGTGTAACCAATTTGAAGGAACTATAAGCATTGTTATATTGTTCTTATAGTCCAACTTAGCGATTAATGAGACTAGATCTTTTTTCTATAATATGATTTATTGTGCTTTCAAAATGCAATAATCTCACTAGATCACTAGATATGGTTGAATTAACGACTATAGGTCTAAGATTCCTTTAGAATTTACTTTCTAAACCAATTAAAACTAAGTTGTTATAATTGATAAAAGCTAATACCAATAGAACTTGACTCTTGAAAAGAATCTAAGTCTATATATATATATTTTCAATTTCATTACCTCTTTTAATTTCATTTTTACTTTCGTTCATCTTCAATTATCAAAGACTAGCTAAAATAGTGCCATGTACTTCCTACTTTCTTAATAAAATTTTTCATAGAATCAGTTAGAGCTACTTTAAATTCTTAAAGGATAATTTTAGTCAATGACTATCAAAATCACACAGATACACTATTTTGTGTGGTCTCATTAGATAATTCAATAAATCCAAATTTAAAAAATCTAAAATAAATAAAAATTTTATCACAATGAAAAACCGTGATCATGTTTGTTAAGGAAACAGGTATTACTCTCTTCTAGATAAACTCAACAAGACCAATCAATAAATTCTTATTAAAGATATCTATTGCTAGCATTGCTACTTCTTCTCTTCCAAATTTAAACTGTAGCCTTACCAAAAAACAAAATTAACATATTACTACCTCCAACCGGTTTCACCGCTTCTTTTCACCAAGATTTTAAATAAAATGGGATCAATGAAAAGGAAAGAGATGGAAAAATAATCAGAAGATACTGCAACAAACTCATGATGTACTTTTTAACATGATATTTACACACGGATATGTGTAAATATAATAATGCCAATTATCTCCCTACCTTGTTCTTCCCCCTCACTAATTTTAATGTTGCCGAGACAAATGAATTTGTTCATTCTATCCAATTGGTCTGCAAACAAAAACTGAAAATTTCATCTTTTAATTCATGAACTTTGGTCTAAATGTTATTAAAGATGCCTACACAATAGAAACTATTTATGTCGATACACGCTACATTCTGAGAAATCTATGAATATTTCTTTTAACCCTTTGCCAAATTTTTCAAATGAGTTTGGTAGAGAATTTTTACCTCTATTTTCCTTTTTTTTGTCATTTTAGCAAGATACAAGCAATAATTAGAAATTAATTAAAACGGAATCTTCTAAAATGTAACCTCTAAAGTACTACTATGGTTATTGTATGAGACAAGCCCTTCTTTCTTTATGCAAGTCTTTTAGTAGTAAATTTGGTTTACCAGTAGTTTTTTACAATAAAATAAATCTGATTTGGTGGAAACATTTTTTTTATTTTTAACCGAAAGGAAATTCAAGTACAAATGCAAGGACAAATGCAAGTACGAGTACGACGAATACAAAAGGACAGATAGTTTGGGAAATAATTTTTCAAATCAAAAGAAAAATGACACGTTTCTTTTGAATAAAATAATATCGTTATTTCTTATATTGTAGTTGAATTCACAATTTTAGTTAGAATCTTTTAATTATTTATAACAATGATTCGTACAAGCAATTAAGGTCGGTTAGTTATGGGGATCATCCTAAATACGAGAAACTACCGGCAAGTATTTCTGTTATTTTGGCCGCAGGATAAGACAGCAGTTAAGTTAATCGAAAAGTTCGCTTTCTTGATATTTTATTATTTTCAGCAACATAGGTTTAATTTAACGAAGCTAATTGAAATCGAGCTTATTATCAGATATTAGCTAGCTTTTTACAATCAAACAGCTGGTTACTGATGAAAAGACTCGTATTATTTAAAATATTAAAATGTATGTTCAGGCTGCTTCTTGACTTTGGTTATTTCTTGAATTTAAATTAAACTATTCCAAAAGATATCTAAAATTACAGTTTTACAATAGCAAATACCTGGTTTCATTTCAATTCCATCATTGATTTGAATACACAGGTTAAATTATAATTGATTCTTACAAAGAAGTTTGTTCTGTCCATTGGCAAATAAAAGTTCAACAGAACACATACTATATTTTTCTATCTCATGTGATTGGACAAAAAAATATAAACAAAAATGTCTAGACATGCAATGTAATAACACCTGTAACTTTATTCGAATAAATTTGCATTTGGGTGATTTCTTTCTTTCTTTTTCAAGGGTATCTATAATAGTTAACGATGCTTGTCTACCTCTACAAACAGGTATTTTTTACTGGAAATGGTATTTACACGAAATGAGATTCTCTACTTCCTTCCCACCTTTACTTGCCTACTCGCTCTAAAGCTTTGGGTCTTACTTTACTCAATAACTACAAATAATTATAATTATAGCGTTGATTTCGGTTTCGATGTTGCTTTTAAAAAAATTAATTCTCTTCATTTCCTTTTTAGTAAGAATTATATGCAAGAAATAAATTTAATTCAAAACAAGAACTGGCTTCTTTTTCCTCTTCCGAATTTAGGAACATTCAAAAGTGGAATTCGTAAAATTTCTCAAATTTCAAAGAAAAGGCCAAAGAATCTTCTAACAATTAATTTCCGGAACCACATAATATCCATCTTAATCCAAGGGATTTATTCATCTTGATAAGACATGCAAGAGATAAAAATAGTGAATCTAATTTTAAAAAACTATCTTTCTTCCCTCTATTTGTCCTGACGGAGTCGATAACTTGGTAGAGTGATATAGATACGGAGCGGAATATCCGAAAGTTATAATAATTCTGGGATCCTATATACCTTCCATCTGCTTCATAGTAATAAGCCTAGAAGATTCGGAAAGCTTCATTTATTTCCATTTCCATATTGCATTTTTTCTTTTCCAATTTTCAATTGAATAGCATTAATAGACTGCATTACTAATGACAATACTGTATAAAATGTTGCACTAACATCGCCTGTACTATATTGATGCTTGCTTGCTTCTTATTCTCTCTAATTAATCATTGTATCTTAGATTTCCAACCAGAAATTGTTCCCTACATAACCATCAACCTCTTGGCAAATAATCATAAAAGTTCCAATATGTTCTAATTATTAGAAATTTCTGAATATTTTTTGACAGCATTTCCATTTTTTTATATTTTTTTAATACTTCTCTCTTATTGCTTTCCAACTTTTTCTTCTTGGAATATTTTTAATACCAAAAGTGATGCTTTTTTTTACAAAGCAGGATAGCATACATACTCTCGCAGATTTCTTCTATTTTATGTAGTTAGCTCTAATTAGAGATTGTTATGCCCTAGAGGCAATGAGAAAGATTAAATGAAGTTATACTGTTTGTATACTTCATTAGAAATTTTATGTAAAACAGATTTGCTCTAATTAATATAATGTAGTTTTTATTGAAAATTGCATTTTCTAAGAATATAAGTGAATACTAAATGGATATTATTTTTAGGTGAACCCTGTGATTATATTCAATTATGCATAAATCAACTAAATATACTTCACGTTTTTGAAATGAAGGCAACTCAAAGAGCATTTATATATTACTTTTTTGATCGTTTTTTGTCGTTGTCGCTTACAACATCATTAAGTTTATCATATTATTATCGAGTTTCTAACTATATTATTTAATTCTTTACATAGATAGCATTAATTTTCAGCAGATAATAATCAAGATAAATTAATACGATGCACCATAGTCTGTTTTAAAAATGTATTTACACTTTTGATCTTGAATATCCAAGACCGACCTTTCCATTGTTACTCAATAGGAAATTACCTATTATGAAGCAATAAACGAAAGAAAAAGAAAGGGATATCAGGGATACTATCCATTGTGGATATTTAATAAAATATTTTAATCGCTGGCCATGTGTGTAAATTAAATATTGTTTTTGAGATATGATCTGTGCCCTATCGAAATTTCGGTGTAATATAAACTATGGCGATATTATATAATACTCATTTTACCATTTTATATAACTTTTATAATACTTTATACGTGAAATCTGGAGTGATAAGAGAAACAATTGAACTCCTATTAAGGTAGCAATATAGTTTCACCATTCAAACTTCTTGTGATTAAGGGATAAAATAAATTCTAAATCAAAGTTAGGCTAAAATATTTGAGCATAAACAGGGATGATCAATATATTAGATGGTGCCAACAACAAAAGAGATTAGTTATCTATCAAAACTAGGTTACTCTACTTTCAAATGGGTGCTACAACCGTAGAGAAGATTCAGTATTCTTGATCTAAAAATATATATTATAAAATAATCTTAGTTATTAATGAATGCATTTAATCAAATTTCAAGAAATGTAATTATGCTTAAAAAACTCCTCTTCTTCTTAAATGAGTAGAAACAAAAGAACATCACAATTAAATTATATTTCAAATTGTCTTGATACTTGTTGCCATTTTTCATTTTGTTGCAAGAACTGCTTCATATTGTAGACATCGATAAACTAATAACTGGATTTTTAGTGGATCTAAAATGAAAGGCAGTGATGTTGGTTGAAAGATTACAGATATCTTCCTTTTTAAAATAGAAGAGAGATAGATGGTCAAGCTATTTTTAGATTATTTGGTCTAGTATGCCATTGATTTGAATAGTAGTTTTGTTAAGATGATTATTAATTGATTCGTTATATTTCTAAAATATTACAAAACTAGAATAAAAAATAACCCTTTATGAATAGAGTTATGAAATATTTTTTTATTGATTTTAAGATTTTAGCAAGATAATTTACTAAGATAAAAAAATCAATATAATTTAATTTAATCTTCAAAGACGTGGCATTGTTTATTAACGACATTAGTAAAATAAAATATGTCCTATGCTTAATATGATACTTATAAATTCTCAACCCAATCAAAGTGCAACAATTATTCACAACTGCATTCTGTTATGTTATATTTCTTTGCTTCATTTTCAAATATTATATAATTCTTTAAAATTAGAACGTTTGCCATATCTTATTGATATATATTTTTAATTAATAAAAATCGGTGAAATACGAGATGACAGCGTAGTCTATCACTCTTGTGACATTGTAAAAATGATATCGTTTCGAAACCCTTTTTTGGATGTCAGTTGGCTTACCCACAAAAATTAAGATATTAGGTCAATTGATAAAACAATGTTAAAAATTACATCAAGATTAGCTTTCAAAAGTAACTAAATTCTTCTATATATTTCATTGTCCTGTCTGTTTGTCTGTATACTGAAACTTTATTCAATATCGGCTTTCTCACATACATGAAATAAGAAAAAAAAATATTTAGTGAAAAAAAAATCGATGAGCTTATAGAAAATATGTACTTAAATGTGTGTTTGAAAAAGATTTGGTTAATTGATGGTGTATTGTAACTACTTGGGATCAAATATATCGATATGAGTAGTGATAATAGTGATTTTAATGATTTTTCCTCCGATGAAGAGGATACCAATCAAGTTCTTTTAAAATCAAAGAAATCTATCATTAACCCAGTATTCGAAAAGAATGATGAAGACGAAAACTCAGATGATGAAACAAACAACAACGAAGAGGAAGTGAAAGGATCTGATCTCGATCCAAAAGATGATAAAGGTGATGAAGAAATAGAGGAAAATGATGTTATGGTTGATCATTCTACTATAGATAAGGCGAAAGCATTGAATAAAAGATTAGCTAAAATTAGTAAAGTTAGAGCAGATAAAAAGAATCACAAAACAGGAGTTGTGTACTTATCTAGTATTCCACCATATATGAAACCTGCAAAGATGAGACAAATTTTATCTAGGTTTGGTGAACTTGATCGTCTATTTTTGAAAAGGGAAGATACTCAAAAACATAAATTAAGAGTACAACATGGTGGTAATAAGAAAAATATGTATGAAGAAGGATGGGCTGAATTTATAAGAAAAAGAGATGCAAAATTATGTGCAGAGACTCTCAATGGTAACATTATAGGTGGGAAAAAAGGTACTTTTTATCATGATGATATTCTGAATGTAAAATATTTGCCAGGATTTAAATGGGCTGATTTGACAGAGCAAATTGCTAGAGAAAATGATATTAGACAATCTAAATTGGACTTGGAGATTGCCCAAGCTAATAAGTTAAATGCAGAATTCATAAGAAACGTTGAAAAAAGTAAAATGATTGCAAACATCAAAATGTCTAAACAAAAGAGAAATATTGAAGATAATGAAGAAGATAACAATCCAAGAAGAAATTTTAAACAGCATAAGGTAGCGACTAATAGAGCTGATGCACCAAAGAGAATTAAACAAGAAAAATCTAAAAACATTGATAATGTACTAACAGATTTATTGTAACAAATTAAAAGGAAATTTCTCTGTTGTGTTTTATAATTTGATAACACAATACTTTTTGCATGCACTACAACAAACAACAAACAATTTCCAAATTAATGTATAGTATAGTAATAAATTACTGGTGCTCGAATGGTTATTTCTAGATTTTTAAAAATTAATTAATAATTATATAACTATTTAAGAAATCTAGTATTACAATGACATAGAGTCTTGAAATCCAAGGTACATGGAAAAATCACACTGTCTATTCCAATGTCATTAAATTCATATCACATTTTTATTGCTGAGAAGATATATTAGAAAATTATTCAAATTATACTACAAAGTTTTATTGCTTTGGTAATTGAAGGATAACATACTGTTGATTTCCTTTATATTATTGATGTATCATCGCTCGTTCAAATTTATTGCTAATAGAATTGATTTAAATATATATATAGATAGTCATATATTTACATTTAATGATTAAGTTCTAGTCCCTTGGTAAATAAAAAAAGATACTAGTAGAATCACTGAATTAATCCTAGACCCAGATAGTTAAAACCGTTTAAGAGTCGTATTATCTGAGTGACTTGGACCATTGTCTGAGAGATACCTCAATAGCTAGTCACGTGTGTTTCTCGCTTTCCAGTTTAATGGACAACTTTGGAAATTCATCATAACTTCAAAGAAAAAGAGAATGTGACCTTGACCTTAATATTCTAATTGTATATTAAATAATATCACATAAATTGACCATATCAATAAGTGCAAGTAATGTATATATACAATGTACATTAATAGATTAATAGGTTGTATCCTTGCATTATTTAGACAGATATAACTTTCAGTTTTAATCAGATATATATATATATGTTGTCTTAACATCTCAGAATGGGATTCTGGAAGGCTTTCCCCTATATTAGTCTCATTTTCAAGTTAACAATTGCTAGTCTTTCATAGAAATAGTATAAGGACAATGATAGTTTAATCAATTGACCTTCAAATTGTAGTAACGTTAAAACAACCGCTATCTGGACAAGTTACCCTATGATCTTAATCTCAGATATCTAACAGTTACCCTCTCGTCTTTTGTGGACGTATACAATTATTTTCTCTTCTCATCAGAAATTTTGAAAAAAAATTTTCACATCAATTTTACTAAAGCGATGCGATGCGATGAGATGCGATGAAGATGAGATGAGATGAGATGAGATGAAAAATTTTTAACTATGTTCAATTGTGCTAACATGTTGGTTCGAAATATAGTTATAAATATCATTTAGTTTTTTCATACTCTATCTATCATTACCAATAGTTCTGAAATTGTTCCTATTTCAATATCTAAAGATTCTAGTGTCATCTGTATCTTTTTAGATAGTTATCAAAGGTACTAGAGAACATTCTTTTAAAAATGGGTACAGCTAAGAAAGAAAGACAAAGACGTGTTCGTCAAAATGATACCAGAGATGGTAACTTAAGAGTTAAAGGTGAAAATTTTTACAGAGATGCTAAGAAAGTTGAATTTTTGAATATGTATAAAGGTGGTACTGCCATTCGTAATGCTAAAGGTGATATAATACGATCTGCTCCACTACAAGATTCTGCTATACCAGATGCTAGAGTTCAACCAGATCGTCGTTGGTTTGGTAATACTAGAGTTATTTCTCAAGATGCTTTGCAACATTTCAGAGATGCTTTAGGTGAAACACAAAAGGACACTTATCAAGTTTTATTAAGAAGAAATAAATTGCCAATGTCTTTATTGGAAGAAAAAGATACTACAGAGTCACCAAATGCAAAAATATTGGATACTGAAAGTTTTGAGCACACTTTTGGTCCAAAATCTAAAAGAAAGAAACCAAGAATTGCACAATCTAGTTTGGAAGATCTTGTGAAAAATTCTGAAGTAGATAATAAGAGCTACGAAGAAAAACAAGAATTAAATACAACTCTTGGTTTAATGGGTAATCAAGCTGAAGATGAAGATGGTTGGACCCAAGCTGCTAAAGAACATATTTTTAGCAAAGGTCAATCAAAGCGTATTTGGAATGAATTGTATAAAGTTATTGATTCTTCCGATGTCGTTATTCATGTCTTAGATGCTAGAGATCCAATTGGTACACGTTGTCTTTCTGTTGAAGAATATATGAAGAAAGAAACACCACATAAACATTTAATATATGTATTGAACAAATGTGATTTAGTTCCTACATGGGTAGCGGTATGTTCCTTTTTATTTTTTATTTTTTTTTTACTAACGTGAATTCTAATAGGTTTTAGTTTGAGATAAATGGGGTTATTGTGCAATAAATTTGCTATTCGGTTTGATTTGGATTTTAATCTTAGCACCAAAACTCTTTGTCAGGAGGTATTTACTTGCATTTTTTTGCAAAATATCCATAAATGCGTCTGTTACAGTTTTGGAAGATCAATATTACTCGCCTTTTACTCTTCTTTCGTTTTGAAGGAAATATGAGTGAAATCAGAAGGACAATCGTCGTTTTGATGATATACCTTCGCCTCTTTAGAGTAAGGACGATCTTCAGAGTTGAGTCTTTGATCTTAATTTTTTTTAAGACTAATTCAAAGTACTCGTAGTATAGAACGTCACAATTATTTTTTTTTTAATAAGATTCCAAATGTCTAAACAAACCGAACATTTATAATAACCTCGATTTATTAATTCTCGTAACCTATTGACCGTTTGCGTCAAAAATTTCTTTAACATTTAATACTAACGATGAAATTTAATACATTTGAATAGGCTGCATGGGTTAAACATTTATCTAAGGACCGTCCAACTTTAGCTTTCCACGCTTCTATAACGAATTCATTTGGTAAAGGTTCGTTAATCCAATTACTAAGGCAGTTTTCACAATTGCATAGTGATAGAAAGCAAATTTCAGTTGGTTTTATTGGTTATCCAAATACTGGTAAGTCATCCATCATCAACACATTAAGAAAAAAGAAAGTCTGTCAAGTTGCACCTATCCCTGGTGAAACTAAAGTATGGCAATACATTACATTAATGAAGAGAATTTTCTTAATTGATTGTCCTGGTATTGTCCCACCTTCTTCAAAAGATTCCGAAGAAGATATTTTGTTCAGAGGTGTTGTCAGAGTTGAACATGTTACATGTCCAGAACAATATATTCCAGGTGTATTAAAGCGTTGTCAAGTAAAACATTTGGAAAGAACTTACGAAATCTCAGGATGGAACGATGCCACTGAATTTTTAGAAATATTAGCAAGAAAGCAAGGAAGATTATTGAAGGGTGGTGAACCTGACGAATCTGGTATTGCCAAACAAATTTTGAATGATTTCAACAGAGGTAAGATTCCTTGGTTTACTCAACCTCCAGAAAAGGAATCCTCTGAAAAGGAATCAACTGAAAAGGAATCATCTAAAAAGGAATCATCTAAAAAGGAATCATCTAAAAAGGAATCATCCGAAAAGGAATCATCCGAAAAGGAATCATCCGAAAAGGAATCAACTGAAAAGGATAGTAAGATTGGTGATAAGAGAAAGTCTTCACATATTGAAGAAGATGCAGGTGAAGAAAATAACTAAGAATAGCGCATTTAAACATCCAATATATATATATATTTATTTAGGTCATAGGGATATATTGAATTTTTTGCATGTATAATTTAATTATAATAGACAAGTTTATATAGGAATATATTCATAATTTTTTTTTTTTATTTGCTTTCCGAAGTCATTCTGAAGAGAAGGTAGAAGTGTAGATAAATTTATCACATTCCTAAGTTTTCTAGTATGGTAATATAAAAAGAGATTCTTAGATTCCATGACTACTTATTTCAAATCCAGAGGATCTAATTGACGCTTTTCTATACTTTAAAATAGCCATTTCTCGAACAATTGCTTAATAAAATTCTCGTGATTGTTCAAGGTGTAGTTATTATCTTACAGATGTATTTAAGTCAATTTAAATACTGTATATAAATAGTTTCGTTTAAATTATTTGATCTTATTTGGAGGATTTTTTTATAAATTTTTGTATGTTTTTACGTTTTGTCCTTTTTTTAATAGTTAGCCCTGTTGGAGCGATATTAAGAAAAATGAAACTAAACTATTAAAAAGAAATAGTGCTAAAGTTAGAGAATCTCCTTGAAGTATATAATTCAAATAGTGCATATAATTCAAATAGTGTATATAATTCAAATAAGGTATATATACTTCTATTTCCAATTAATTATAAATTTATATTATTTATTTTATATTTATATTATTTACATTATTAAGGTAACGACAATGAATGCTGTCTCTGATCAAGTGATCCTACGAACAACTATCTGAATAAGGCAAATCTTATATGAAAAGGGCGGTAATCATGGTGACCACCCATGCCACTTTATTTCAACAATTGCACTTAATATAAAAAATATATTCTTAATATCGTTTTTGCCCTGTAGTTGCAGATAAAAAAAATATGGGTTTACAAACAAGGTATTCCCAGCAAATGTATGAACACTATTTAGATATTGTCTTAATAACACAATGGACCTGAAGGTCCCCAAATATCAATCAAACTTAACAATGCTATTGTGAATAGACATCATTTATTGCATGGATATTTTTAAGGAAAATTTATTAAAATAAGAAATTTTTATTGAAAATTGAGAGGCATACTCTTATTATCAATTAGTTTAAATGAGTACCAGACATGGCTTTAATATTAATTGATTGCATTCGAATTATATTGGTATTAGCAATCAATAATATATCTATATATATTGAAAATCGAGTCTAATTATACTGCAAACTTTCAATTACAAGAAAAAAAATATCCTTAGAAAAGAATATTAGCATAACTGCTATCTTATTATAAACCCAGTAGAAACCAGGTCATAATAGTCCGCTACTGTTAGAATCAAATTATAACTTCTGAACTAAGATAAATTTATACAAGGGAGACCATATTATTCCGAAGTAGAACAAGAGTTGTACTCAGAAGGGTAGTAATAAAGACTAAAATTAGAAAGATATATTATTTGAAAATGTTATTTAACATTAATTATGTTGACATTAGTATCGTCAATATTCTAGAAACTAAAATGGATTTATATTCTTAGAATTCTTATTTCTTAGTTGGTTCAAAGGTTTTTTCAGCCAAAGTGAAATCCTTGTATTCATCCTTGATGATTGGAGACTTGATGACATCTAAGACCCAGTTAACAATCAATGGGTGCTTTTCTCTCCATTCTGGGCCGAAACAATGTTGTAAACAGAAAGCCCATTCGGTAATACAGAATAAATCAGCTAAAGTGATGTGATCATTGACCAAGTACTTGCTTTTCTTTAGACCAGCTTCGAACATTTCAGTAATTTGATCAATTTGAACCAAACCACGGTCAACAATGTCTTGGTGGTATGGGAATCTATCAATGTATTCGTAAAAGATATCGGCAACAGTCATGAAGAAATCAGAGTTACATAGAGAGATCCACTTCAAAACTTGACATTCTTCTTTGTAGTCAGCACCCAACAAAGTCTTGATAACCTTTTCATCCTTGGTCAAATGAACTAAGAATGGGTTAACGGCAATGACTTCGTGTAAAATGTAATCGTTTGGACCAACAAAGGTTGGAACTCTACCCATTGGGAAATCCTTCTTGAAGACAGCATCTTCAGAAGCATCGGCAACAACATCAACGTTAATCTTGTAATGGTTGACTAAAGCTCTTGGCAAGATAGCTCTTGGAAAGTCCTTCAAATATAATGTACCTTGAGACATGGTTTCTTCTTCTGTAACTTGTTTTTCTTTATGTTCTTGTTTTTTATGGTGATGGTGTTCCTCCTTCTTGACTGGTTTATTCTGTTGGGGGGAAACTTTACGTTGATTATTATTCTCTTCTGAATGGGATCCGAAGGGTTTAAATATATTCTTTAATAAATCAATCAGTTTGAATTCGTATCGAATGAAATGTTCGCTACTTCTTTAGGGATAAGAAGGAATAAATTAAGGAATAAATTAACGATTAAATCTAATTACCAATTGGAAAAGTCTGTTCTTAAAACACAATGACATTATTTGGTCTCTTTATATACCCTTTGAAAATTTTTTTTGTTCAATTTTAAGGAAGCTGGAAATAAAAAAAAAAAATGTATTAAATGTAGCACCTATTGGTAGCCATATATTAGGTTATTCAATTCCTGGCCTCGAGAACCACTACGTAGTCCTCAACAGTTCATTATGAATCAAATTAGATGGTATACTACCAACCTACCTGTTCCGTTAAACTATCCTTTAAAAAAATTCCTACAGTGATACCATGTGCACCTCTACCAAAAAGCAACAAGAACAAGAGTCTACGAAAAATGCCCAATATTAACAAGGGAGATGCGTAGAAGAATCAAAAAAAACATTCAGAGTGGTCTAACACACACACATACACTAACCTACTCAAGGTAAAAGACATTCAACTATAGCACCACCACACCAATTTCAATAGTCAATTATATTTGAAGAAAGTTTTTACGAGACAAGAACACTCAATTCGAACTCAAAATACTCTACTCTATACCCTTATACCGAATATAGCTCAAATAAGAATATATCTCAGACAATAAGTGAGTATATACATTACCAGAGAAGAGAGACCAAGCCAACTCAACTCAAGTCAGCTCTGAGGGACTGCACTAAGAGAACGCCTCTGATTCCAAGTTTGTCTATGGTATAACCAAGATGAAATCAATTGCAATGAAATCAAGTTGACATCAACCATGGTATTATATGATTTGGTAAGAAAATAGAGAGATGGGAACTATCTCTCTCTCTCTATCTCGCTCTTCACTAGTTGCAGAATCTGCTGTAAAGAATTGTGATAGTAATGATTTTTCATAATTCAAGAAGAAGCAGCAAGGAAGGGTTTGTTAGTTTGAAATAATTTTTTTTTTGTTTGTTTGCTTCTACTGTTATAAAACTGAAAAAAAATCCTTATTTGGCATACATCTAGGGATAGAGATTCTTGAAGCTCAAAGGATTTTTAATTCAGTTTTCTTTCCCAAGCCTTTCCCTTCTATTGAAATCGATTAACTAAACCATTCGAAAAAAAAAAAAAAAAGATTATTCAGATTTAAGATTTCTTCCCTGTTCGAGAACCTTGCCTAGAATACCATCCTTGAATTTTATTAATTTCAGTGAAAAACTTGAAATATGCCTAGATCGCCCCCACTTATTTTCCAAAAATTTATGTTTTTTGCATGAATACATACTTACTTAAGTTGAAGGCAGAATCTTAACAAACACGTAATTAATCTGGGAACCCTCCCAAGGGTCTTAAAACCCTTAAAGAGGGCCAAAACGGGTTAGGTTTAAATTTGAATGGCTCCTCTTACTTTTCTATGTCTACG